AGACAAACCAAAGAATATGTAAATTCAATTGCTAACCAAGTGCTTTTGTTGCCGATCGTGGAGGAAACATAAAAATGAACGCCAAGATTGAGCAAATAATTCAAGTAATAGTAGAGGTATGCGAAGCATCTATTAAAATATTTGACGAAAAGAATAGTTGGATGAAAGGATCCGTTTTATCTTTTGAATTTCCGTTATTGGATGATTTATTATTATCAAAAGAAACGGAAAAGATTTTTCATGATGGAGGAAAGAGAATGGTGCTCGTGATTCTTTCGCTAGTTGGAGTTTTAAGTACAAGCAAAAGACCCGAATACATTCAACTTGCAAGATTATTTTTATTACATATTTTCATCTTGGATTATCTTCCATTAAAGTACAGGGCAGCGCCACCACCACCGCCTTTTGATGATGAATCAGAAGAAAATAGATTCATGAAGGAGTTTTATAAATTCTCTGCAAAAGCTTTATTGAGTGATGGTTTTAAAGAAATAACCAATAGTATAGCCGATTTAAGAAGTAATCTTGGTGACTTTATCGATGGTATAATATTTGCATCTTTAATAAGATTACAAAACAATGGAAAATTTAGCTTTCCCCGGGAAATTAAAAATGATTTCGATGTTGCGTGGAGATTGATAATGGATTTGTGTATGATGAAAGGACACGATTTTTCAAATGATGAAAATCACCTTTTAAATGATAAAGAATATTTAACGATAGTGACATCGAACGCAACAAATGTTCATGAACAAACAACAACTTTACTTCCATTTAATTTTCCATTTTTTGAAAAATATTTAGGTAATATGCAATTGAATCTTTCCGAAAATTCGAGTTTAGAGATAGATCATGGACATTATGGAAATATTGGAAATATACCATTTCACGATATTTATCATTGGCATAAAAAAAGATTAATAGATGCTCCAGAACCTGTTAAAGATAGTTTAAGAGATTACCAAAAATATGTAAGTTTCATGAATAAATATGCCTTATCCTTAAACGGGACTCAAGGTTTTTATAGTATAAAAATAATCAAAAAAAATTCGGGAAAAGAGTATAAACAATCTAATAAAGCAAAAGAGTTGATAGAAGATATAAACAAAAAAAAAATGATTGAAAAATTTAAGATTTCTGAAAATATCCTTGATAAAGTTATAAAAGAATCAAAAGGTATGATGAATGATAAAATATTGGAATCTTTGGATAATATGATTTTGAAAAAAGATAAGTTCCAGCACCCTATTTCATTATTACGTGTACATTTTTATAAGTTAAAAGTTTTGCTTGATTTATGGACAGAATATTGTAAATATTATACCAAAAGCCATCATAAAAAAGAATATTGGTCAAAATTTCCTGTAAATATATTTCGTCAAATATTTTTCATTGCTCAAAATTTTACATTCATATTGAGTGAAAATGAAGAGAGAAAAGAAAGATTGATAGAAATTTTAAATAGACTTGGATTACATGATTCGGCTCTTAAGTTAGGAAAGATGTGTAATATTGAAAATACAACCACAGTTAAGAAAAATGAAAAGAATAATAAATGCAATATTACAAATTTATTATGTTAAATTAATCTCACCAAATGCTAATTAAAAGTACTTAAATAAAATTCTAAAATTTGCCATATATTTTACCTAACATATGGATTGACATTTCCACTGTCAAATTTTGGTCTGGACAAATAGAAATATTATTTATTTTATATATATTGAAAATGATCTTTGCCATGTACCTCTCTTATATTATTCATTTTAAAGAAAAGACTAATCATTTAACAATAAATACAAAGCAGTATACATATTTCTTCTGATATTTTTTTATCTTTGAGTTAGTTGTGTAACAACTCACTGTTTAATAATAAATACGCACAAAAAAATTAAAATTCTATATGGGTTCCAATGGTTGTTTTACATATGATTTTGTCAAAATCCAATTGTTATCATGAACTGTGAGTAATTATAATGATAATTGCAGGAACAATACTTTTTTTTTCCAGAAATATTTAGTAATAAAAACCAAAAAGATATAACAAAGGAAAAATGTGAATTTTATAATTAAATTTTTTTTATAATAGTGATATATAGTTGTAAATCGATCATAATAAATAAATAAATAAAAACATACAAATGAAGCATATAAAATTTTTTTTTACGAAATGTTTTTTATCAACTATATTTTTTTTGTCATTTTATATTTGAATATATTTAATTAATTAAAATTTGACAACAAAAAAAATCAACAACACTTGCACTCTCCATTTGTGATCTTTTGGTTGGATCATTAATCCAAGCAATGTTTTAGAAACTGTTTCAGATGTACCAATCATTGGTTTTAGCACTGCTACAGGAACTGCCCTGATAACAGCTTTAACTGTTCCTTGAGTTCCTGTTTTCTCATATATTCGCCAGTACTGCACACCCTGCGCCCGTCGCTCCCCTGCCCCTCTGTCTCAAACTCTCACCGCCCCATTCTCCCCCTCC